GACTAATTTTATAGTAAAGAAATAAATGTCTCAAATATTGTTTCAGTATTAAAATTTTAAGAATATTGTACTTTTCTCTCTGGCAGCACGATGGCACAGTTTGTAGAGCTGCTGCCTCTCAGGGAGCAGGTTGCCCTGGTTCAAACCCTGGCCCAGTGACCATTCTGGGTGGAGTTTGCATGTTCTCTCCGTGCATGCGTGGGTTTTGTCCGGGTACTCCAGTTTCCTCCCACAGACCAAAAACATGCATGTTAGGCTGATTTATCCTGATGCATGCGCAACAATCCAGGTAGAAAAATCTAAAAAAGTTAAATCTGGTCCTCTGGACATTCAAAATGTCATAACATTTGACATTTGAATGTCCAGAGGACCAGATTTAACTTTTTTAGATAACGTCCCAATGTCTTTTAAACCCCAAAATACATTACGGCAAAGACTGGTTCATCCCAAAGATCCAGTCCCCTGGCACAAACAGAGTAATATTGTGTATGTTGTTCAGTGTCAGGAGGGTGATCAGTCTTACATCGGGGAAACTAAACAGCCACTGGCCAAAAGGATGGACCAGCACAGAAGATCAACATCATCAGGCCAGGATTCTGAGGTCTACACTCATCTCCAGGCCAGCGGTCACTCTTTCAGGTGTAGACGAACAGATGCTGAGATATATTCATCAATTAAAACGGATTCTTCATTTTTCTGGACTGAATAAAACGTGCATTGAATTTAATAAAATGTAACGTGAGACGTTATTTATCTTTGACCCATCAAAATGAATGTGGTCATTTATTTTACAGAATCAAAGTTTACATCAAACATTTACATTAATTTGGCAAAATATGAGAATAACAACATAATTAATCAGCGGGCTGTACAATTGTGATCAATTATCCACACGGCGGTGGATGAGCACTTTACACAGACATTTCTAAATTATCTGGAAGGATTTCTACTTGAGAGAAGAATTTAAAGATGGAAAGTGAAGTTTAAAGGGAGTAAAAGATGGTGTGTGAGGGGGAGTGTTGACCAGAACCGACACTCTCCATTCGAACCCAGCTTTTCCTCGGTACGCTCGGTAGTAAACTTGACTCGTTACCTCTCTGAAGATGAATCAGCAGATACGGAGTTCCAGTTAACGCTACCTGTCCAGCGTCTCCATAGGATGGCTGTGACCCGTCCGAAGTAGTGACGATATCCCGTCTGACACAAGCTCACCTCAGCAAGTGGACTTCACATGAGTGGAGTCCTTCAGAAGTTCCACTCAGAGGTGGAAGATGTTATAATCCAAACTCGGAAGAGCCTTATCATGGCTGGACTTCTGTTCTCCCAAACGACTTCACAGAACTGCGAACATCTCAGGACTGAGAGAACTAGGAAGTACCGGCATTTAAAGGGCTCTATTTCTGGTATATTTGAGCGTTCCTGATTGGTCAATATCAACCAGACAGGGGTGTGTTTTGTGATGTAAGAGGTTACTAGAAGTCAGAAAACAGCTAGAATGTTATTGGAACAGATTGAAAATGTTCTCAGAGACAGAGAGAGTTTTGTTTTGGCGAGTTTGGAGAAACAGGTGCCAACTTCTCTGTTGACGTCTGAGAGGATGTAAACAAGACAGTTGTTCCAACACATGTCTGCTTCGACTCCTGACCTTGGAAAACGCACACTTGCTCATTCAAAGACAGAAATCAGAAAATGCATAATTACTCTGTAACAGGCCTTAACATGAATTCTACTTTGCATAAGCAACTAAAAATCATTGTTACTGTTTTACAGTTAATAAAATTGATTAGTTCACTGTAACATCTAAAATGTTTGAACTAAAACACTTTGATTATCAAACATTTGTAAAACAGGAATGATAATAGAAAAGAGAGTGTTCTTTCACTTGAATTTTCAAGAAAGAAAGTCAGGATGGGTGAACCTGTATTTCTGGATTCAAATCAATGAAATGACAGTTTCTGTCCCACAAGGTTCTTAAGGTCAAGGGTTTTGACCTTAGGCTTAGTTTTGACATCAGGTCAAGTTCACTACACAGGGATGAAGATGTTCACATCCTGGACAGAGAGGAACGATGGTTTGAGAGAGGAGTAAAGGAGGCCATCTTTGTGAAAAGAAATGGTCCATCATTAAACAGGGGTGGAGGCCTCCGGGTTCAACTGTCCCCCTCTTACAATGCTGTGATTGCTAGTATCACTCAGCCCTCTGTGAACAGTAAACAGCCATCAGTGTGCTAATGATCCATTGTTAGGCTGATGGTCCTTCTTGATCATGTGATCAGCTGGTTTTGGTTGTCAGCAGCAAACTGGTTGATCCACTCTGAGAAGGTGCTATTTAAGAGACTGAGCTGAAAACAGCACCTCAGACTGAGGAAGTCTCTCGGATGAAAGACGGAACGTTTCTAATTTTTTTTTGTTTTGCTTTGCTTTTTTGAATGTCCAGAGGATTTAACTTTTTTAGGTTAGGCTTACTTGTCCCTAGGTGTGAGTGAGCGAGTGAATGGTTGTTTGTCTCGTTTGTCTCTATGTGTCTCTGTGATGGACCTGAGACCTGTCCAGGGTGTCCCCCGCCTCTCACACAGTGATGGCTGGACATGGGCACCAGTGACCCCCACAACCCAAAAAAGGAAGAAGCGGGTAACAATGATGGATGGATGGATGGATTTTTTTCTCGAATTAGGCAAAAAATTTTAGCAAAAGATTTTGCATTTGAAGCAACATGAAAAATTAAACTCAAACTTACCTAAATGTGTGGAAAATGCAATATTACACTACAGTAATGTGATTTTGCACTACACAGACTCAGAACAAGTGGAAGATTATGGATAATAATAATAATGTGTTATGTGTCCCATACAATGATGAAATTGGATTTCTACATTTAACGCATCCACCACCAGGTGGAGCAGTGAGCACCTGTGGAAAGCAACCGGGGAGCAACTGGGGATAGGGTGTCTTCAGAGACGCCACAGATGTGCAATGACTGGGAATCAAAACTGGGATTTTTGGGTCCCGAGTCGGCTGCCCTGATGGATGATTTTGCAGTCTATACACTATTTTCATATTTTTGTTAATTGTTTATTTCCTCCCCATCATGTGTTGTTCAGAGATAAATCTAACAAACACAAAAAGCAGGAGGCAGACAAATGTGAAAAAAAAAAAACTAAATAAAGACCTTGTTAAAAAATAAATTTTTAGAGATTTTTTTGTGATTTATACAAGAAAAATAAGAGTCAGGTATCTATAACTTAGAGAATGACAAAGAAAAGGGACACAGAGTTTATCAGATTAACCATCCTGCTGTCCTTGGGTCAAAAGGCTTCTGGGGTCATTTTGACCCAAGGACAGCAGGATGGTTAATGAACAGGTACAAAGTTGGATAACACAGAGCACAAATACAGCATTATATACAAAATGTGCTCATTATTTCAAAGTTTACAGAATATGTTTAGTTGTGCAGTGGCTAATCAAAGTTATAAAGAAAAGTTAAAATGCCATCAAAAAGATTTTAATGTTTTAACCCTCTGTGAAAAGTACATAAAATAAATTACAGGCACAAACATGTTGAAAATTCTTTCACACAAGTCAACAACAACTCCCGCTAACTCAGTAAATTTTTGAAAAACCTTTGACTAGTCCTCTCTATGTAAATAATTCTGTTTGAAAAACAATAAAAAGATTTTAAACTTAACATTTTCTCAACTCAGGACAAATTAATTTCTGTTTAGGCTTCATTTAGCTGTAAAATGTTTTCTGTTGGCTAATATTTTCAGCTAGAAAAACATCAGAAAGGAATAGTTAGAAAGTTTAAGGAGGTTGACAGAAACAGAATTAACATCTTCCATCAGCAACAAAAAGATACGGTCATAAGAAAAAGAAGGTCCACCTTCTTCCAAACAGTTTCACATATCAATAATAAAAATCTGATCTTTACAATCGTCTATACTTATTCAAAACTAACCTCAAATGTACAAAAACATCAAACTGATTCCATCAATTTTATGCCAGTAAAATATCTGATAATCACCGTTTGTGTATCTTTATTTGTAGGAATTGTTCCATAAGATCAGTGTCTAATTGTCTAAGTATACTAAATGTCAATTACTCCCATAAAATGAACTTTTTATACACGATGTGTTTAGGATGAATCTCAAAAGTAAGAAAACTTGATTCAAAAACAGAAAACTATTAGTGACACTGTAAGATACTTTAACAAATAGTTAAAGACAAGAGCTTAAATTATAAAAAAACAACTTTGAAAGGAAAGGAAAAAACAAAGCACTGCAGCAAAAGTGAAATGCTGTAAACATGTTTTAATTCAAAGTGACAGCACAGTGGAAGGAGTTGGAGCCATCTTGAGAACAGGAAGCTCACAGCGTGAGTCCGACTGCTGCCGTGTCCCGCGTTTCACATCCTGGTCTCTTCTGGTGGTTGATTCGTGTATTCCTGAAGGAGCTGGTGTAGAGGCAGCCACTTCTTTATCGAAGCTTTGATCGCTGAAATCCATCTGAACAGAGGATCAGAAACGTCATCATAACTCCATGAATTAGTGGCTTTAAGCCATGTTGTTTTAACGTGCTATACATCATCCCAATCCAGGAATTTAGAGAGCTCCTTTTAAAATCTTTCATCAACATCACGTTAGCTCTTCTTTAGAGATAATCTGGTCATTTTTTTTAATGATGTTCTGTCGAACAGTTTTCAACTGTACTTTATGAGAAAATGTCACAAATCTTTATCCAGGTTAGGCTAATGGTTAGCCAAATGAAGGTCTGGTTTATGTTTTTCAGGCTAATAAAAGAAGAAGACTCAGTTTTTCCAGGACATTCATGAACTGCTTTTATTGCACAACAGCGGGAACGTACAAAAGTTGTACTTTCATGTGCGCTCCTCTGCAACCGCTACAGCGGCCTTACAATAAAAGCAAATCCCACATCCCCCACCCGACTTTTTTTTTTTTAACAATAAAATAAAGTTAGCAAGGCACAAACAAAATTATAAATTCACTTCTCAATGCGTATATCAGAACATAACTTAGGTAACCCTGTATGTAATTATATGTACCCAGGCTCCCTCTATAAGCTTTAAATAGTTTTTCAGAGACCTGATTCATGCATCTTGCAGTTATGTATTATGTTTTATGACTCTGTGTGGGAATAAACTGAACCCATTTGTTATGATTTGGACCTAAAAACCAAAAAACATTAATTTTGACATCAATGGAATGATCTTTGATAACTTTAAATGTTTTATTTTTTTCTTTCACATTACTCTGAATATCCAAGAACAGTGCTTTAAGAATACAGGAACACTATTAGTCTCCAAATCAAAGAGGCATATTTATCTCATGCCCCCTTGAAGTTGATCTCACGGGCGTGGTCAATCCAAGGGGAGACCCCGGGACATGGCCAGGCAATGCCTGGCTCACTGGTGATTCCCTGGGGAGCCGCCACCTCTGTAGTTGGACAGTCCTGCCGTGGTGTGGCTGGAACTGTGTGCTATTGCTGCTCATCTAGATCAACTGCTCCTGGGACAGCCCGAAGGTGTCGCCTGTTTCGGCAGGTCACATTCCCATTGGCCATCAAGTAGGATCTTGGCTTTCTGAACTTGCTGATAACTTTGGCTGGCATTGTCCACCCTTAGTCTCCCATCAAGCTTCACTTTAACCATCTGACCTGGGTGCAACTCAAGGAGTGAACAAGCTAGTTGTAGAAGAATCTATGAGTCTTTACATGCAGCATCTTTTTAATACACCATGTCCTGACTGGCTGGACAGGGCAAAAATGTATTTTCTAGAGCTGGAACAGCGGTGTGGATTTGTCGTCCTGTCATAAGCTGAGCTGGACTTGCACTGGTTGCTGCCATTAGTGTAGAGCGATAGCTCATCAAAGCTAAGCAGGGGTCAGGCTGTTTGAGGATGTATTTGGCTGTTTGGACTGCTCTTTCAGTAGCCCTGGTTTACTGTGGATAATGAGGACTTGAGGTTAAGTGGGGGGGAAGTCATAGCTCTGCTTAAAGTCTTGAAACTTTGACGATGAGAACTATGTTCCATTGTTGCTGACTAGTTCGAGTGGGATGCCCCATCTCACAAACGTGTTTAAGCTTGTTGATAACTTGCCTGCTTGTGGTGGTAGTGAGGGAAGCGATATCAAATGTCCCTTGAAAAATAATCAACAACTCCAGGAAGTTCTTACCCTCCAACTCACACAGGCTTGATGCAATCCTATGCCAGGGGTGATCGGGGAAGGGAGTCATCACGAGAGGTTCCTGTCTCTGTGTGGGTTTGTGCTCGGCAAAAGTTGCATGACCTCACTCTGTACAGTAATTTGTAGTCCAACATTGGGCCACCACATTGTTAATTTATATTGCTCACGACTTTTGGTCAGTCCTGGGTGGCCTTTGTGTAGTTGGTCTAGAACATTAGTTCTGAGTGATTTGGGGATTGCAATGCAATCATGGTAGAGCACTAGCCCCTCTGACTTTGAAAGATGGCTTCTGGTTGCATGGAAGCCTTGCAGTGGCGAGCTCTTTGCCATTCTCCGAGGCCACCCCTTTCTGATGAAAGTGATTACCTTGTCAAGTTCTGTGTCTGTCCTAGTGATTCTGTGGATTTCTTCCAACTTTTGTGACTTCATAGGTTTGCTGGCCACCACATTGTTCACAAACACCTTGACTTGGCTCTCTGCGTCTGACTGGCAGATTACATGCAATGGATGTTCCTGAGAGTGTACCTGCCACCACTACCTGTTTACCGAGAACATGCTCAATAGTGACATTAAATCGCATCAAGTGCATTAACCTTCTCTGACATCTCTGTGGAATTTTGCCAAGGTCGTACGAGTTTATTAAAGGCACAAACCGCTTATGATCGCTTTGTAGAGGTACATGGCCCATACCTTGACTGTAGCGGGCAAAACATTTGCAGGCCCAAACAAATAACAGACACCCTTTTTTAGTCTAGAAAAATATTTTCTCTGTATCCGTGAGTGTGCAAGAACAAAAGGCAATGCGCTGCAACTCTCCATCGTGGTCCTGTAACAGTATGCCACCCAGGCCATTTCTGCTGGCGTCCACACTAACAACCCTTGGTCAGCCTGCATCGTAGTAACAATATGCTGGCACTGCCACAAGCATTGGTTTTACTTTGTGTAATGCTTGCTACTGAGACTCACCCCACACCCATGCAGTCTCTTTCCTGAGCAGGTTTTTGAGTGGATGCAGCACGGTGGACACACCTGGCAGGAATTTACCCACATACTTTATTAGTCCAAGTACCTGTCTGAGTTGTTCCACATCTGTGGGGCTGGACATCTTGGTAAAATCTTCCACTTTGTTGTCATCAGGTTTCACACCATCCACGCTGATAATGTGCCCCAAATGGCACTTAGCCCTGTTGAGTTTGAGACCTGATGTTTTGATTGTCCGTAACACTGAGTTTAAGTGTTGGTCATGCTCCTCTTTGTTAGACCTGAAAACAATATGTCGTCCATCACGACAACAGCTCCGTCTAGGCCTTTGAGCAAGGTGCTCATCAGCTGTTAGAAGATCTCAGACGCTGATGTAATGTTAAATGAAAGGTTCCTGAAGCAAAACCTGCCCATCGGAGTTATGAACCTGATCAGTTTCGGGCAACTGGAATCCAACAGAATTTGCCAGAACCCACTGGAGGCATCCAAGATGGAGAACACTTTAGCTCCGGTCGACTTGGGAGTTAGATCCCCGGTGTGGGCAGAATATAGCATTCATGCTTGGCTCCCTTATTCAGATGTTTTAAATCCACACATACTCTGGCCATGTCCTTGTTGCACTTTGAAGCAGACACCATTGGCACACACCATTCCGTTGGTCTGGTAACTTCCTCAATAAGCCAAGACTGAGCATGCACTTTATTTCTTATTCCACTTTTAGGAGGAGAGGGAAAGGAAGTGTGTGGTGTGCTCACACTGTATGGCACTGCATCATCCATTAGCTCTATTTTTACAGGTTTGCAGTTTAGTAATCTTATTTCTCCAAACATGTCCTTTGTTAAGTTACTATTAATCTAATTTACTCTAACCCACCCACCTGACTTTTCCCCTCTGTATTGTACACCCTTTGCCTGGACAGTGTCAGTTTAGATCTTTGCTGTAGCTTGATGGAAGTCATTTCCGTCATAATGGTATAGCACCGGTTTTGATTATGACATTCACAACTAGTTCGATGTCACAATCTGTATATGAGCATGACTCCTCCATGACTGTCGCCTTTGACAAAGTTGCAGCTCCCAGAAAAAGCCCTCCTATGAAAAATAAATCCCCATCTGAATCTACTACACCCTCAGCCCTGACTTCTTTTAGCATTTTGTTTTGCATACAACTCCAAAGTGTTCTTACTTGTTGTATTTCACACATTTTTTAATTGCGGGCTGGGCAGCTCTCCCTTTTGTTGTGCCCCGTTATGTCTTTAGCAGTTTTGTTTATTAACCCCATGTTTTTGCTTGTACCTCCTATGGTTCATTGTAGCGTTACCTCATGCTATTATAATGTCTGGTTTTCACCTCATTCATGGTACTTTTCAGTTTTGCGGGTCAAGAAAGTTAATAATTTACCGTTTATTTTCAGCAACGTTTTCAGCACAGAAGTAGAATGTCTTGAACTCATCTGATGGAGGTTTTAGTTCAATGATGGACTTTTTGGACCCATGGGGTTGCTCTCGCACCGAGTAACCCTGAAGGTAGATTCCACCTGAAGACAGAGACAATGCTGTGGTCATTACAATCCTATACATCATTTATTTATCCAGTTTCATGTCATGAGACATAAAAACTCATTTATTGGAACAAGCTGTTTAGAAACTGAATATATCTGCATTACTTAAACATGAAACAGAATGAGAACATTCAACACAGAGCCACACTGATGGTGACAGATAGTAAAAACATATTAAAAAAGGCTTAAACCTGGCAGGTTCGTACCATGTGCATGAGTTGCCCTGATACCGCTGTACAAGTAGAGGCACCCGTCCTTCAGAATGCAGTAATACTGAACTGAAGTGTCCTTGCTTTTGTCCATTTTGTGAAGCAATCCAAGACAATCAGGGTTTTTCACAGCCAGAGGAGGCAGATTAGAGTTGTGTCTCGTGACATCAATCCACACGTGATTCTGAAACATGGGGGTTTATTAATATAGTTTACAGTAGTCTCTGAAGCAAATATGACAAATTATCATTTGAATCTACTATTGTCATGAACAAGATTGTCAAAATTAAATGCAATTTAAAGTCTCTACTATATCAGTATACCTGTGTGATGGGATGAATAGCCGTTTCCATGGCCTCCAACCACCTGGAGTTACAACGACATCAATAGGAAAACTATAAACACTTTTAAATCAGAAACAGTGCACATGGCTTGTATATGGTCATTTCAAAATTGTGCCTTGTTGATTTTGTGTCACTTCATATTCCAAATAATTAAAAAAATAAGCAAATGTAATTTTAGCCATGTTTGTAATTCACCTTTTCATTTCTTGATTGGAAGTGGCGCAGAGAATGTACGCTCGATTTCCAGACTGAGGGTGGCACTTGAACACAAACGGCTTTCCCAGGGAATTATCCGGAGCCACCATAGCCCCTTCCAGCTGCACTGATATCAATGGCTGCCTCTTGCCTTCATCCTATAACACCCATGTCATTAAACACTTCTTTATGTTTTAATTTTTATATTAATTCACCTACTTACTCTTTTGTGTTTGTAGTAGTGAAGGCAGCAGTCATGTGTGAGAACAAACCACCTCTTCCTCCAGCCTTTAATCAGGCCAGACTGGGTACGCTTGTAAAGGTAACCACGACATGGGGGTCTTGGTGTGTTAGGACCTCGAGCAATATCTGATCCAATGGTCAACATGAGAACATCCGGACCTACAATAGTAATGACATTCCAATTAACTCAAGTGTTAAGCTTAGAGTCAATGTACACTTTAGTTGCACAAGTATCCACACATCCATCATTGGTAAATGTTTTTTATTTTATTGCGTTGCAACTAAACAACATAAAACTAAAAAGTGGTGCATGCGTATGTATTCATGCACTTTAAGTCAACACTTTAAAAACCACCTTTTGCAGATGCACCTAGATGCTTGGTGCATCTAGACATCTATGAACAAACTGTTCTAGTGCCTTCAAATTAAATGAGCGCTGCTTGTGTACATTCGGCTTCTCCTTCCGCACTAATCTTTAATTCATTTCATCATAATCACTTAGTTTCATCTCATTCAGCCTTATTAAACTAAAGTATTTTTGTAGACAAAATACCCATAGTTGAAGTAACAAATTCCAGTTTAAGGAGCTACAAAACAGAAATGACACAAAAAGAGACTGAATATTTTTAAGCCGGTTGTAGGTAGTTCAGGTGAAAAGTCTCAAGCACTCAGCCCAGCTCAACAAACTAACATTCATTTAACCTTTATTTAGACAGGTTAGTCCCATTGAGCCTCGGGGACTCATTTACAAGAGAGACCTGAATTTTAACAGAGTGATGACCACAGTGAATAACAACAATAACAATAGACAGTCATAAAGGATGCATACAAATTTATTTTATTTTTTAACAAATGAAAATAAAATGGTAATTAATAGGGTAATTAAAAGGAAAAGTAGCAAAAAAAAAAAAAAACAGCATAACAGGATATCATACCTTGTTTTGCTAATATAGCAGCATCAGAGTGAAGAATGCTGGTGACATCAGTCCCATTAACAGCCAGGACGTAGTCTCCAACCATCAGGCCTGCTTCCTCCGCAGCTCCGTCTGAATTCAAAGAAATTACAAGCCTTATTTTCCAAAAAGAATCAATAAAAACCCACACTTAAAAAAAGACTGGATAAAAATATTAGTCATAATTCTCTGTGAGTAAAAAGTTACAACTTGGCCTCCATATAGTTTTAAAAACCATACTGACTGTGATTTTTCCACCTCATGCTAAGATGAAATAAGTAAATTTCTTTTGGCTGCTCCTTTCTTCAGTGGTCACAACAGCAAGAAAACTCACATGAAAGATCTGGCTATTTTGTTTTACAAAGTACATGAGATGCCCTTCCTGATGCAACATGGGCTCAAACCCACAACCTCAGGATTACAAGACCGCGGCACTGACCACCGAACTACCGCAACCCCCGACAAAGGGTTGTGGTTGCTAAAATGAAGTGAAAGCTCTAAATTGACTACATATATTAATATTTTTGGTTATTAACACGCATCATCTTCATCATCTGCTAAGCTAGAGTTTTGTTGTTTTTGTTGTTGTTTGCTCTAAAAAGCAAATCTAACGTTTAAAAGAATGTAACCTCTTCAAACAATAGATATTTTATTCTTATTTATTTATTTTACAAAAAGGCGTATGCAGATTTGTCCAAGTCCCTGTCAAGAAATCAATAAAATATTTTGTTTCTATACAACACTTTGCAAAAATTTAAAGTTTGAATAAATCCGAAGAAGCTTGGATGATAATGGAACATTGGTTTGTATAATGTGGTATTTGCTTATTAATTTAATATTCTCATGAATATGAGGCAATTTTATATTTTTTCCACTTGCTTTCATAAATTGTGTCTCCAATATTCAAATGTGGGGTCACAGTTGAATTGCTGAGTCAAGTCTAGTGTTTAAGTTTTATAATTATTTAATATAATAAATAATATTTTGTAACCCCCCCCCCCCACCCCAACACCACATT